TTCAAATTCCATCTGGGTTTTTTTTTCATCATAAACTAAACCTAATGAACCATTTGGGAACAAAAAATAGTTGATGACGATTTAGTCTTATTTTAATGATAATATAACAGAAAACACTGCCTTTTGCATCTACACCATTGATACTAAATAGTAGGATCTCTAGATGTTAGATACGAAATAATCCAATTAGTAGTACTTGACTCAACATACATGGCAAACGATTGAGAACCAAACGTAGATCAGACAAAACTTTATTCACAGAGTTTGAATCCAGAGTAGAATGAATCGACAATACAATATATCCCAAAGCATCTACGTCACTGGCTGTGTCTAACTTCGCTCACTAACCAATTAAATTCCACTTTCGGCTGACACATCAAAGTATTAAGAGATTCACTTGTACTGTGCTACATAGAGTGAAACTCAGAAATGATAAATATCGAGGAGCATGAGTTACCATTTAATTACTCATCAATTTTATGAAACGTTATAAGAAGTTGCATAAATTTAAGGCAGTTTAGCAATAAAATTATTATCTATCTATGTAAATGATAAAAGCGAAGTCACATTGGAAAGCTATTTCGTCTTATTATGGGACTTCATAATAGTGGTTAGTTACCACTAGGTCAAGAGTCTGAAGCAACGATCTTCAAGCCTTGAGACTAGCTCCATACCCTTGGACCACTGAATTAGCATTCATACGCTTCACGATACTTCCTGATACCTAGTTGGACGATCTCTACCAACTCGTTGTCTTGTTATTATCTAGTCAATTGATTTTAAACCACTTTCCAACTGACGATAACTGTTCTCAAGTGAGAATTAGCTGTATAATCCAGATAAAATTTTCACTTCACCTTCTAGTTTAATGATTATGCTTTAAATATATATTCTAAAGCAATAATAATCAATCTTTGAAACAGAATTCTTATTTTCTAGATGCATCTATAATTCGAGAAAATCCCGATTTTCATTATTTCTCAACTATATATTTTTGAATTATGAGAATCATATTGTTTTTTGATTTATAGTTCATAATTTACAATTAAGTTGGTAAATTATAGTGTTTACATTCAACAACAAATATAATAATTTAGTAATAGTTTGTTTTTCCCTATGATAAATTGTAATAAAATAATTAGTATTTACAGTTGATCTAGAATTTACGATTATCAACAAAATCGAGCGAATTAAAAGAATACTACATAACGAATTTGTTAGATAATGAACTTATAAGGGAAAAGAGTGGAGTACTACTGAAAAATATATTCTTATTATATGATTACTAAACATTTGTTAGTTAACTCACTAAAAGTTGATATATATTTCATCGTTTATAAATTACAGTTGGTAACTAATATGTACCTGTTATTTGGTTTTTTACTACTAATGGTCCACATTTCTTATTTATCCTGCATTGTGGTCTTATATTTGATGTATGTTATTATATGAAATTTTATTCATTGAAATTGGCAATAATGAAAGTAAATTGATTGGACTTTTTCGTGTTATGATTGGTAGCAGAATTTCTATTTCAACATCAACATACTTAGTGGGTAAGGAGAAATGGTACTAGTGTCATTCAGTGTTAAGTGAACCAATAGTTGATGAATTCAAGAAATCTGTGATCCTATTTTGCATGGGAATCTATTAAGTGGGCATACCGATATAAATTCATATCAGAATTGAATCAATGTTCTAACACATCCAATGTGTAACCGCCAATAACTCGTCTTCATTTAATTTGATTGTAATTGAGAGGACTGAGCCAACTTGTATTTACCCAATAAATCGCTTTTCGGAAAGCAGTAGAGTGAATGGTCCAATGCAGTCACATGTTTTCAAAGGGATATAAACTGAACATATGTAAATGCGTTGAGGATATTTTCTATTTATTTCTTGATAGTAGATCCTACTGAAAACATTCGAAGATTCTTTTTGACATCCTAAATACTTCGTTAGCTGATGTTTTTGTACGCCAACAAACTATTTAAAACATTGTGTTCATTGTTACATTTTTTAAAACTTCACTTGAGTGAAGCACAAAAGTATTCATATTGAAGTATGTAATATCTATCACTCAGGTGATAAATACGTTCGACAACAATAAGAAACTAGCACTAAATGGATTAGTAAATATATATGTAGCTAAAACCCTTGCTTTTTGGAAAGATGTTTCCATTTAAGACCCTAGAATCAAATCGTCTTTTCTTAGGAATTTACGGAATATCACGTTACGTTTTGTGCATGCAGATCTTGTTCATGAATAAATCGTAAACTTAATAGTAATGCTTATTTAATATGGATTGTATTTGATGTGTGAGCGAGAATGATTGGTTGTCTGCTTAATCAGACATGTAGATAGTCTGAGAGGTGTCAGCTGATTTATATATTCCTCTATTCTTATTTACTTATTATCGATTGTTCATTAATCGATAGCATTCGATCTGCACTAATAAGGAATAGACAAGCATGACATTGATCACCACCCAGTGATCAATCAATTGTGATTACATCTCAGTCCTACAGGAGGTCAGTCGCGGCTCGGATAGCTCAGTGGTAACGTCTCTGACTGTAAAGCTGGGTGACAGGAGGTCGAACCCGTCAGGGAGCACCAGTTCCCTCAAGATTACAGGCACATCTTGCTGACGAGTGCCAAGTAGCACGAAACCCGGGTCCAGGTCTTCCTGTTGACTACCTCCAACCACCATCTAATCTCAATAAATAGTGCCCGCAGTGTCGAGTCACCTAGACTGGTGGCTACATTGCAACATGATCCATAGCATTCGATCTGCACTAATAAGGACTAGACACGCATGACATTGATCCCCACTCAGTGATCAATCAATTGTGATTGTTCATTGTTGTTGGGTTGTGTCGGATTTCGGTGTGCAAATATATTGACGTTGTGGTCAGACTAATCACGTGTTCTTGATCTGAGTTGTGTTGAAGTCCTGTAGAATAGACACTGGGAGGGAATCTAGTGTAGATATTCGTCTAAGACAAATTAACATCCCATACGTGTAAACCCAACCGTTATAACATTAGACGAAGTAAATCCGAGCGTTATAACAATATTCTATTGTGAACAATTCTAATCAGAAAAAAGAATGAGGTAGTAAAGAGAATACCTGATGAAATTCTCTTTCTTTGTTAAACAGGTCTTGACAAGCCATTTTATCCGAATAAATTTAGTGACAAGGAAATATTTTCAGACCAACAACCTCAAATTACTTGCGTTAACGACTACGAAGTTTAATAATGAATTAGAGTAATAAATGAAGTCCCTGTTTCTGGTGATTAATTACACCTTAAGATGATATAAACAACCTAAGCACAAATTAGATCATCAATGAAGTAAACTGTTATAAAGCATATTGATAAAATCATTATTTATTTGTTATGAAGAGCGTTCAGGATGGGAAATATGTGCGGAAAGCTAAATTGGAGCTAAGTGTTCGTCAAGGAATTCATATCAACTAGGAATCATTGAAAACAAGTATGAGGTACCAGAAAAAAGTCTTGTTCTAGTTTGAAACCAATGAGGAATCAAACTCAAAGATTTTAGAGCTAACAGCAAATTCAACACTTCTCGACAAATGAATCGGAATTTAACAGGCACTATTTCCAATTTTAGGTAGTTCAGCATATTGCGGAACGTTGATCAATGTGAAGTGTTCCATTCGTGACATTATTGACCTAAGGTGATCATTGCATTTCATCAGAACGTCAGGAATTTATCTGGCATTTAATCATAAAATATAATTTTACACGTCTAAGAACCCAACATAAAAACATAGAACAATGTATAGATCCAGCTGACAAGTGTCAAACAGAACGAAACGCGTACATACTTCGGCCACAATTCTAAAACAGTAAAAGCAATACGCTCTGTGTAAACTGACATATTCAAATACATTACAACTTTTTACTGTGTTTGGTGATCTCTGATAAAGATTTGTACCAACTAGCCTGAAATATAAATCCTGAGTATGATAGCACCTCCAATCGCTTAACATAGAATAGTGATATTTAATTTTCCGTGATTCTGCAGTTAAACTTGTTATGCCCCGATAAGAATAATGAGTGGTAATTTTTGGGATCCATTTGTGGGCCAATACTATACGTGTATTTTTATCGTATAATTGTCAATTAACTAAACTATTCATATTCATGTCTCTCTTATCATAAGCTTTATTATAACCTATGAACTGTTATTATACGATTTTCCATTCTTGAATTATTCCCTGTCTATGAGTCACTGCCTCCCTCATTCACAGCCACATTTGGCTAATTCTTGTACAAATGTTGTTTCATATTTTATTGGTACGTTGTGGTCTGTTTGATTGGTGTATAAACTCAGTATGTTTTAAATATAATGATTCATATTGCAGAGGCTGAGATTGACGTTCTGGAATTAACTGGCAGGGCTAGGCGGAAAGCAGGACCAATCAGGACTCTAGGCTGCTCATACGGGTTTACGCGCCCTTGGTCCGATCGATAATTCATTGCCCTATAATTGGCGGTCACAAGTTATAACAAAACTCAGTCTACAATGAACACCATTTGTATTTCGGAAGAAATTCCTAAAACACACCAAATCAATCAACATTTACAAAATAACGTTAAAAAATAAGGAATAATATTGTTCGAAGTATCAATACCCTGAATAACTTAATTTCACTAGTTCAGATTCTAGACTCCAGCTATATTAGTAAATGATGTATAGAGTGAAAATTTCTCAGTGGCAAACTTATCCATAGAGATTTGCGGTGAAAAATTAACATTTTAATTTCGATCATGTGAAGAAAAATGACTGACAACAATTTTCATAGATATGTATAGAATAATTGACTAGTGATCAAGATTTCAAAGGAAAAAAGTAGCAGCTTTCACAATTATTTATTAAATATAAATCATAATCTGTTTATGTATATGGAGTGTTTTATGTACATAACATTTAAATATATATATATATGGTGATGAATTGTTGAAATGCATTATTCTCCTTCACATGGATCAGTTGAAGATGTTGATGAAGAAAGATTGCGTTGAGCCTGAAGACGCCTACTTCTTCTTCGTATTTGATTTCTTTGTGTTCTGAAATCATTTTCATGACTAGGATCAATAATATTCAATGTGTGCATATCGCTGATCATCATTTCCGTTGCAGCACTATCATCCGATGAATAATTATCAAGTGTTTTTGTCAACATCTTTGGAACTACATCCATTTTATTATTATCCAATTCTATTTGTACAGATTGTTTTGTGGAAATATCAGTTGAGTTTGATGAAGTCACTGTTTTACGTCGATTTTTTTTAGAAGAATTTCTATTAGATGGATTCACTGGTCTACCAAGAACAACATTATGTGGTTTTGGTGTTAAATAAACGGAATCTTTTCCAGTTGGTGTTCGATTTAGTAGAATATCGAAGCTTTGACAATATAATTGTTCTACACATATAAATTGTATAAAACCTATACTACTGGCTACCGCAATCCATGTTGCACTTGTTGGATTCGGATTGAAACGAACCTGTAAGGGAGATCAAGTAATAATCAAAAATTCAATGACCATATCAAACAATTACATGATTTACGGAGACTGTATAAATGACTGGTTTACTTTTTACTTGAAATTATCGAGTGAACATCAATGCTATCACAAATGTGTTTGGATGCTGTTGGTTACAATGCAGCAAAAACCGTCTGTGAATATTTAACTGAATATGATTTTATCTATGTTTTACAAACACTTAGATAACATTTATCAAATAAATATGATTAATATTTTCTGTTACTTAACTTGAAACGAATAATGAAGGGAAAACTTTCTTGGCTTAGTGTATCTCATGACTTACCAGTCATTCTTCCGGACTAAGAACCAGAATACAAACTTTTGATTATTTTGCGTATTCATATTTTTTATAAGTTGTTTTCCTTTTTTAATGTATATACCAAACACAAAACATGTAAGCACTTATGTGTAATTTACCAAAAAACCATTATTTGTACACGATATTAGAGTGTATTTTAAAAAGTCGACTGGAAAACTAATGACTTAAATGAGGAAAAACTATTTATGAAAATAATAATTGATGGGTACAAATCAAAACAATTTTATGATCAATTTGAGTTGTATGATGATTGATAAAGCTGTAGAGGTAATCGATGATATGACAGGAGAAAGCGTTACAGTGTCATAAATGTTTTCACAGTTCATTTGGTCAAATAAATTATTATAATTATGTGAAAAATAATATTTTATTGTGTTAGTTCATTTTCAATCATCTTAAAAAGATCGTATTAACATTATAACAAGTTTATCTGCATTATTTTACTCTACATGTCACGTTATCGGTAGTAAATTATCATATTTTTTGTGTCAGTATACAGATCACATGGCAACGTGTACAAAAGCAATCATATTCGTGGGAAAAAGGAATTAGTTTAATTATCTACTTACATAATAACATCGACTTTAAACATTTAAATATATTTCTAGATCATAATAATTGATCTCTGAGTAGCAACAACACAATATTCTTTAAACCTCAATGTTAAGCGAATTTTATTCACGAAACTGAAACAAGACTACTAGTCTAAGGATCTAGACATCGCGTTGCCATATATTTAGTGCTAGAAGTAATCATGAGGAAGCCTTAGACATAGAATCCATGTTAATTGGCACTCGTCACCAAGATATCTAAAATTTTGAGAGGATCGATGGTTCTTAGCGAATTAAAACCTGCATCAAAGTAAGAAATACTTGACGACTCTGAATCCTACGGAGAAAATCAGTTTCCATAAGGTAGCGTATATATTCCTACTAACAGGAAATACAAATTCAAAGCTTTCCGTACATTGCCGCTTTTAGTCTGCCAACGTACTTTTATATCAATAGAAATAAAACATTTTAAAGGACCGAGATGGAATGAATAATGATGATATATTATTTTCACATAAAAAGATGTTTCTCAAAATGAAAAAAACAAAAATCTTACTTTATTTATCTTCAAAATAGGAGTACTAATGAAATCCAATTCAGGTTTCTTAGGCACCTTATCCTAATTAAAAATGTATGGTGAATAAAAATAAAACAAATTCAGAAAATAAATGATGTTTCAATATATAAATTCAGGGAATTGATTTTAGTTAGTAAAAAGTCAATTTGTAGAGGTAGAATTTTACACTAAATCCATAGATTTTAATTGTAGCAGTGATTAAAGAGTGGTGTTAGGAACAAGTAGGTTAATGAATATTTTTTCAACACCTTTAAATGATAAAAAAGTGCTTGCTATGAATTTCCAGTTAAGTTTAATCAAAATACTTAGATAAATGTGTACAGACAAACTATAAGTATATTTCCAAGAGGAGCTGTGTTCAACCAGTGTAAATGAAGGTCGTAATATCGAGTTGAGGTCGCATACATTTGGAGAATAAAAATATAAAAGAGCGACCGAAATCGAAATAGATGATGTGAGATTTAAATCAATTATGTAATGAATGAATATCATGGGACACGTTTACTAAGCTACAATCCCATTGTGTTGAAAGAAGGTCATTTACATTTGTTTACAAGTTGATGAGTGTTTGCTTCTCTGTTCAACAGAATTGTTTTTCAATAAGGAATTGCTTAAAAGATATCAGTATAAAAATATATATGAAGTCAAATGAAGTTTAAATCAATACATCAGTTCAACGTTAGTCCATTAATCTAAAAAGCAGGAGGTGGAAGTTATGTTTTTAGCTATTGAAACACCTCTTTAAAACAAAGATCTTCATTCATTCATTTTGTGTTCAATAATAATTTTTCTGAAAAGATATCTATCATTCAGATACCATCATTGTACACTAAATGCCGAAATCAAAGAGTGTGCGTTCAAGTATATTGAAATAAAAAACGTAAGACTTTATGTCCACATTAAAATATTGAATTCCAATAACCTACACACATTTCGACAGATAATTAAATATATGATACACATAACCAGCACCTGTCAGAGATATCAATCAAACTGCTAATCAATATAATATAAACAAGGAAACAATCAGATTATACAACAGTATATAGCACTGAACTTTATCCATCATCAACACATTTGAAAAAAAAACTACAAATACAACAAAAACCTTTTTGTTTAGTACACTTGTATCTCAGAAATAGATGCGTAGAAAAAAAACCATATCAACACAGGAATAAATAAGATAATATCAAATAATGCATATATAATAATGAGAATAATCAATTGATGTATTGTTTACTTGGAAACACGAAAGCACAATATGATAATACAGAAAAACAAAATAAAAGACTAATGGAATGATTGTTTTCTTTAATGTCTTTGATGTTTGAAATATTCCCATATTGTAAATTTAGAACAACATATGTAAGCGAACAATATTGTTTTTGATTAGATCTTCATCAGGCTTTACTCTAATATACAGTAATATTTATATGCATATATGAAATTATTAAACCAATCAAGGTAATTTACGAGTCAATGATAACAATGGAAACAATTACATAATATGTGAAAAGTACGAATTGATAGTGTGATGACAGGGGTACTAGGTTTGATAAGAATAATAAAGGCTCAAATCAATGCATATAAATATTACTGTATATTAGAGTAAAGACTGATGAAGATCTAATCGAAAACAATATTGTTCGCTTATATATGTTGTCTTTGATATTACCAGTAAATTAGTTATTATTTTAAATCATGTTTTCAATAGTCACTTTAATTAGGTTTGATTACACACATCGAATAGTAAAAATTATGTTAACAAAGATATATAATTATGGGATGAAACAATCTTTGTATGAGATGGGATATATTGTGATAACTGGTAATGAACTAATCAATATAAAAATAAATATTGACTGATAAACAGGTATAATCTATGTTGGTGATATGTTAGACAAGAATTAAGCTTCATTACATTGATTATTTAATGACCTATGAAATTTGATTATATTATATTTCAGTTGACTTTTAATTGATTTTGCATATAAGTAATTTTAGTAAAGTGGGAATCTATTCCACCGACTAGTGATTTTGACTTTGATATAAGTTTATTTGGGATTTTGAGTTAATAATCCGGTTTCATGAAGAGCCATCACTAGATCGTATCGTATTACTGTGCTCATCTGTCAATCAGGATTCTATTCATTTATTTTAACAGTCTTTCGACCGGAAATCATTCAAGAAAAATCACAACGCTTAGCAGTTGAACAAAGTACCAATGTACATCAATCCAAGTTGATATAATGCATCAGAACAGTGACAGGAAGTTAAGACACAAATCACAAGTGATATTCGTATCAATTATGATAAAAAACGACATATACACAATGCACTTCAAAAAGAACAAAAGAACATAAAAAATAAGAAGTACAGATTAATAGTAAAACATAAAATTAAAAGGAAGATATGAATCCATTTGTACTATTGTGAACAACTTTGATCACATAAGAAAACCCAGCCAATCTGACGTTAAGATATTTAATCGATCTCAACCAGGACGTATGCGCTTGTTGACACGACTTAGTACTATAATTAATGAATTCATAATACAGCAATATAACTTTTAAATATCACTAACACATATTTTCTAAGTTTCAACAACGGATGACAACTATCTACTACTACTATATAGCACAGCACACGTTTTCGCAGATTATTACATTTGACATCCATCGAGGACATTATTCTAACAAAAATTCTAATGGAACATTGACACTTTTTGACTTTCCACTGTAAGCTTTAGTTAGCAAGTATTCCAAGTTAGGTCCAAACGTCGATTGTATTTGTGTTCCATAATGTTTGCAATTGGCGCCTGCATTAACATATCTATAATACGTCTAAATCCTAAGCTCGAAAATCCCCTTGACTTGGAGGTTTCTGAGTGTCCGGTCACTGAAGCCTGTTGTCTAACTTAATACAATCAGTCAGTCAACAAATACGTAGAACTTCGTACGTACGTACATCAGTTCAAGTTGCCATACCACATTAGCACAGAGATACAATTGTCCATTCAAATCTCATAGCGGTAGAGGTAGTAAAAGTATAAGTAGTAATCGGAAAGATTAGGGTTTGAATAAGTTATCCAAGGAGTACAAGGTTCATAAAAAGAAAGGATTTTATCTAAAGTTTGGATTACTGATAATATATATATATATATATATATATATATATATATATATATATATATATATATATATATTCAAATTATTGTCCTTACATTTAACAAGATCCGTATTTGATAATTCGACCAAAGCTTATGCCAGCACATAGATTGATCAGTTCCACAATGTTCACAGTTAGGTGAAGGAAAAAGAAAGTGTCGAAGCTCTGCATCATTTAGTTCTCCAACATCCATCTCTGATGTAAGGGCAGAAGTAATGGTGGTACTGGTTGTAGTAGTATTAGTAGTTGTAGTGGTAGAAGCAGCATTATTAATCGGTTCAAGATCAATTTTACATTCAGTAATAAATGCATTAATATCTATTATGTCATAATCACATTTAGTTAAATCCACTGTTTCTTCCCATTTTTCTTCATTTTTTGATGGGGTATAATGAGCAAATTCTTCTGGTGGTCGTTTTTCCATGATCCATTGACATAATGGTATTCTCATCTACGTAAATGCATTAAGAATGAAAAATAGGTAAATTCTACCTTAAAACTAACAGAAAACTGGTTGGCAGTATGAACATAGCCCTGAAGTAATACTTGATTTTTAAAAAAAATTGGTTAATGATTATACATCATCTCATTCATTAAGTACTTGGGTATGAGTTAATGATGCTAACTGGTTGCGCAAACTGAAGTGGATCAGAATTCGCGCCTAGTATTTAATAGCTAGAGGTTGAACGTCTTAACCGCTAAACAACGGCTATATATTCGAGCAAATTTTATCAGTTCCATGTATGCAATAATTTACTTCTCAAAGCAACTCGATAGTAGTGAACAGACGAAACTACTCCAGATGACTTACCCTACAGGATATTTACATTTCGTTAGACTTTATATTTTGGAAACAACAAAACATCAGCTTTATGTGAAATGTGACATTATAAGTAGCTAATTAACAGTTGGAACTACCAGAATTAATATATCGAACTATGCTTAACTTTTGAAACACTGTGAGCTACTCTCAAACGTAGAAGCTAGAATCTACACTTTCACAATGAACCAGTCAATGCACTTTTCTAGTGAGAGGGAGAGAAAACAAAACAGTTCTCTTGTATTTAAATAACACTTAGTTCCATGAAAACAAATAATGACTCATATGTATTTACGTGTATGCCAAAAAGACCCATAAAGACAAAATATTAAAAAATAACGACACGTGAAAGGTTAAATAATCTGTATATTATTGATAAGAAAAATGTTTAGTCCATTATGTGTGGGTACTCAATGATCTTGGCCCATCCGCAGGAAGTACAAGATGGAAATCTCATTTAATTTTAGGGAACTGATCCTCTTCATCTACTGTTAAAGTTAGAGACACTATCATTGAGGAATTTTAAGATTTTAATCATCTGAGTAGCATTAGAATAAAAATAACCAAGGATCGACATCGACTGGGGAACCACTGAAAACCAAGAAGGAATAAACAGTAGACTGTCCTACTTTGAAACTCATAAGCATTCTCCACTCATAACTTCAAATTGGAATTAAAACTAGGCCCTGAAATTCGAGTGGTAAAACAATAACTCTAGAACAGTGAGTGGTAGTTTTCTAATAACCCGTAACTCATATCAAAATATCAAGTATATAATATAATCAATCATGCTGTTAAGTGAATCACTGAAACATTTATTGCACTGGTTAACTGATTATGATTCAAATCAATTTTAAGGATTAATCTTGATTGGCTCCAATAGAACTAGATAACTCAACAGGGAAAATCAATGACAGTAATAAATAACTGTATTTTTAATTCATTGAATATATATTAAGATGAACGTCACAAGATAGAACGTTTCCTAAATGATAAAATCATTGAAGAATTCCATTTTATGAAAATGCTTTTCAACTTAAGAAAAAAAATAACACTAATGCATTACATAGCATTGGATCAGGGGGAAAAAGTAGGACTAAAAACTTAAGTATGTTAGGCGTTATAAATTGACAGAAACTCCTCTATCATATGACAAAAATCAATCAATAACATTTATTTAGTGTTCGTTTTTAATGTTCACTAGACAAATTTTTTTGTAATATAGGACAGTTAAAGATGTGTTATTACAAATATCAGGATAAAATTCAGAAGAGTTAATAGAGAAAGATATAGATGAAGTGTGACAGAAAAATTTGAATGAAATTAACATTTATAGAAAGATTCATTAAGATCTAATTATTATTTATCGTTTATCATTTAAAGTAGATGATTGAAAACATGATAAAAAAAGAAGCAATATCCATCTATATCTGGCACTGATTCAAGTGATTCAAATAAACAAATTCTAGGATATCATTTATATTCTCAGGAATCAATAGTTCCAGATATTCATGGTATTCACTAAATAAGAGAAATCCGTTCATTAATAGAATGGATGAACAGATAGAACAGTAGAAAATTCTTGTGAAATAAATATGATTGAAAGATCGACAGAATAATGTAGTAGACGGTATAACAGTGAACGGATTCACCTTGTCAGTACTTTATGGTACAGAAAAGATATACAAGATAAATAGGAAGAATATAAGTTATAAGATATTTGGAATTTCATTGAAGAAGAAGAAACGAATTCTTATGAGGACTTACGTTATATCTTAGTCTGATCAGTTTAAGTCTTTTTAAATTTATACTAGTTTATCTACGTTAGGAAATAAATTTTTCAAACTATCTGAGCGGACAAATATTTCTATATTTCGAAGTTTATCTTCTAAACAAAGACGATTATTTCAATGGTTAAGATCATGAGTCAGTTGAAGCTAGACCACCATGGAAAACCTGGACGGCCGTTTCGTCCTATTGTGGGACTCCTCAGCAGTGCGCATCCACGACATCGCCCCCTGCGAGGTTCGAACCCAGGACCTACTGGTCTCGCGCCCGAGCACTTAACCACTAGACCACTGAGCCGGCATCCAACGGTGTTAATGTCTAACTTCAACTAATCCACGAAATTGAGCGACACATTCACCATTGTCTTCAGTGAGTTACTATCTCACAACAGACCTGGTTGAACTCCACTGGTCACTACTTCTCACTAGAACTCCAGGATATACCTCGTGAAGCCAGTCACTAGTGAGCATATGTTGATTAATATCAGATGGGTTTTTTGTGGAGATTGTAGTAATTTCAATGGTTAAGATGATGAGTCAGTTGAAGCTAGACCACCATGGAAAACCTGGAAACAATTGTTGATTTGAATTTCTATAGCTTACAAGACGAATTTCATTTTGAAAATTGGAAGGTAGAGGATAAAGCACTTCGAATGCTTTAATTTTATCGACTCCATGATCACCGTCAATTAATTACATGCCTAATAATTATTTGTTGATAAATCAATATCAAGTAGGATGCTAACATAATTAAAAATAATAAAGATTTTAGTGGAAAGTTTTTATTCCTTTGAATGAAAAGCTAGTTCAAATGTTTACAGTCGAGAAGTTGGACAATTTAACAACGTTCCTTAGAGATGAAACACATTTTCTTATGACTAAAACAAAGAACAGATAAGCGCCAATTTGAATATCACTTATAAACAATCGTGAGGAACTTCAAAAAGCTTGGTCAAGAATGTTATTTCAATAATTTAATTTGATTAATGAGATTATTCAATGTTGTGGAAATTCAGTTCATATCAAGATATAGTAATGAAATCACTTGGAACAATACATATTACTATTTAGAGATAACGTGAAACTTTTAAAATGTATCATATTTTCTACATTTTTAAAAAAAGTTTACTGAAACATCGATAAATAATTATGAGAAAACTATCGAAATTATTATACTCTACTATTAAATAACATAAATGAATTTCTTGTGAAACCATAAGTATGAAGAAAGCACAAATAACTATAAAGAATTATTATAAGCATTGTATTTTCCATACTGCCATTCGCAAAACATCAATAGCCACAAATGCTCTTGTATCATTTGAGTGATAATCGCAGATACAACATGAATTCTTCTAGATCCTATATTTATTTATCCAAGAAAAAACTCAGTATTCTTATGTTACTTAGCCTCATTATAACGCGATCCAGAATATTACAAATTTTAAATATCGTACAATCTACTAAGATTTATACAAAGTAAATGTATTTAGTCAAATATTCATTAGATCTAATTGGAATGATTTTATAGATTATGATAAATAGCCATTATACATAACATAAAATGGAAATTAAGCACATAATTTAGATTTTCCATAAAAGATGACGGTCAGCCGATTACATTATACTGAACTGATATTATGCTAATAGTGAACAGGTGCCAAAATCCCCTAAACTCTCCACCTTCCTTAAAAAAAAATCATTAAAAGATTGAGCAGTGACACTGCGAAAACAGAATATGGTAACCAAGCTTTTTTTCCCTTTATAGTCAAATTTGACGTTGAGTTGTATCCAATCATTGTGCCAAAAGTTTATGAAATGCATTATAAAACGTGCTACAAATTACTAGTTCGAGTAATAGTCAACAATGTCTGAAAATACAACAACCTCGACGCGTGAACAAAAACAATGCTCTGAAATCCGCTGTTTAAATCAAGAGCGAAAATATCCAATAGTTATGAATACAAGTATTAAAATCACGAGAAATCAAAGGAAGAAAACCGATTACTTTTGCCTACTATGGCAACCAAGTGTATAGTTAAACTCTATCTATTTCCAATGTCGAAATGCATCAATCTACTAAGAGATATTAGAAAAAATATCCACTCTACTGTGCTTAAGTATTGGCATACTTGTAGTGGTAAGAGTCAACTATTTCTTTAGATAGATTTTCTTCATATCAAATAGTCACCAGCTATATATATATATATATATATATATATATATACATATATATATATATATATATATATATATATATATTGGGGAGGAAATGAGAATTTTCTTTTAAAAAAACCATAAATAGGAAGTGAACCGCAGTCATCTTTTAAGCATCAGAAAACATACAACTGAAGATTATTATAACATAATCAATACTAAAACTATGAATTTAATCAATAATAACAAATAATTTGTTGTTGTTAACTAGGACACAGTTCAATTAATAAAGCAGTCTACCCTAAAAGTTGTTTTGTCTTGCAGTACCCAAAAACATTTTGTTGGGAAGTATTTTGTTATTAATAGAATATCTTATAGTTTCATGTGGTTAAGTGATCTATGCATTTGTCTTATTGTATTGTTCGAAAGAGGTTTGAAATACAATCAGCTTGGTACGATTTGGTTAACATGAATAGACGATTTTAAATTAATTTATTTTTTTTCACGTGTTGTTTAGTCTATGAACTCTTTTTTTAAAAACAAATGAAAAGTTATATTAGCTTACACCACTATTTTTGGCTTAAAAAATTTATTAGATAAAATAGTAACATGATGATGAATGGGAATAAGATTCTTTCATCTTTAATACGATTGTCTTAATTATCAGCTTTGATTTCCCTCTCCATA